CACTAGATAGAAAGAGACTATTTATAGGAACCTCATAAGATATCACATAGCTTCTTACCCTCTCATAGGAGATAGCCCACATATATAACCTTATATCGACATCTCTATATGTCCTTGCCTAGATACAACAACTATGTAATTAATTGATCTTCCCGAGTCTACACTTATTCACAAACTATAAGAATCTGTTTCATTCCACCAATGAACAACTGAAACATCCATCAACACACCCAAGGCTCAATACCGTATTGCATACCAAAATGATAATCAAGCATTTGTATTCCCTTATTAGCTCAAGCAACAATTCTCGTAAATTCTAACTCTCAAAGTATAAGAAGTCATCACCAAAATGAAATGCACAGGCTTAGTCATTTGTCCATAATGACATAATAGCATCAAACTTCCTCAAGGTCCGTATCAACCCTACCCGCAAAACCCGTAATGATGCGCTTCCACTTTCACTTAGGTATAGCCAACTTTCGAAGTAAACCACTTGGTCCCTGATGCTCATTCTTGACCTGCAGACAATCAACACCGCAAGACATGCCCAATAACATCTTTTTTCATCAGCCGCCGCCCGCAGTGCTGCTTCAAAGCATGATACATCTCCATAACACTCGAATGAATAGAATACTGCGTACTATGAGCCTCCTCAAGGATAAACCCCCCTCAAACCATCAACACTAGAAATACAAATTTGACTCTGAAGTTGCAATATACTGTTATTACTAAGGATCACTCCCTCAACACCACCTCGCAACACCGTGTCCCTCAGGACAAGCAAATGAAGATCATCACACTGACGATCTCTAATGCACTCAAACAAGAATGACCTTGCAACCACACTAGTAAGAACTCTATTATGCTCACAAATGTCCAATCTCACAAATCTATAATCCAAGGCCTGAACATTCATAGACAAATGCCTTTCCTCCGCCGGAGTAAATGCCAAACTACCCATACGCTTTGTTGCATCAAATTCACATCTTCATGTCAATTGCTAAAGACTTAAATGGCCAGTAGAAACCTCACATGACACATATAATAATGCCTCCAAGTTGTAAGTACATGCACAATAACTACCAACTCGAAATCACGAACCAAATAATCCTTCTCATGGAGCTTCAACTGCCGCAACATGTAAGAAATCACCCTACCGTTCTACACCAAACGGTTCTAAGACCAATACAAGAAGCATCACTATGCACTCGGTATGATTTTAAACTTGTGGGAACAACCAACACCGAGCTGCTATGAAAACCCCTCCACAAAGTGATGATAGTACTATGCCTTCATAACACAAGGAAAAACCATCACACACCATATATGCATCATCATCACCAACCATCATCGACCAACTGATATCGAGTACTCAACATCGCATATGAATGTGCAGGAAAGACCTGAAGATATTAGCTTCAAGTCGAAATAAAGTTGGATTATAAGGAATAAGAAAGGGAAAGTTCCTAAATCACTATAGCCTCTCGCAGAGATAATGACGTCTCAGTATCTATCTACAAGACTCTACTAGGCTAGCTCGTGATTAGAAAAGACCCTTAGAACCTAGATCTCTGATACCAACTTGTCACGACTCAAAATCCCACTGAAGGCCATGGTGGCTCCTAACCCGCTCGCTAGGCAAGCTAACACATAATCAATATCTAGATATCCAATTATTAAGCCATTAATTGTTTCGTGATATAAATAACAATGCCGAAATAAATGTTAATTCAATATCATAAGTACAATTCAACATTAAGGTCTAAATACAAACACAAGTGTCTAACAAACACCTAAAACCCAATGTCACTACATCACCAGCATCTAATAAAATTAACTAATTTCAAATTAACAATAACATCTATCTAGAAAAGAAATACGTAGACAAGAATGAATAAGTAGGGAAGGGAGACTTCATGTGCTACGGGTCAGATCAAATAAAGAAGCTCACCACAAAGTCTCTATCAGCCCCATACAGTGGATATGATTTCACAACTTAGAGATTGCAACAAGCACAGTAATAGAGATTTACTCCAAATGACAATTAAAGCTTTACTCTTTTTTATTTATTTATATAACTTTTATATTTCTTGTTTTCCAAATGTTTTTCAGTTGTCTTAAATAAGACAAGGATGGACGAAGATAATTAATATCGTGCAGTTTCAATACCCTATTATCTTGTTTGAAAATTTCTTCTTTTGCTGGTCACTTAGATTTAATTTTGCTTGCTTTATTATAATTTGAATGAAAAATATCAACACGAAGCAATGCATTTAAATGACATAAATTAATAGTACACTAAACAATAATGAACCTTGAAAAGATAAACAAAAATACTTTTAGAAGTAAGTGTGTTTTGAACAGTAAGGGTGTGTTTGGGAATGAAGGATTTCCAAATATTTTTTAATTTTTCCATGTTTGGTTGGATTAGATATTTTAAAAATATTTTTCTCATGAACTCAAAATGTTTTCCCTATCAAGAGAAGGGAAAATATTTTCCAAAACTCTTTTCCAACCTTCCTCCCATTCCCACCAACCCACCAACCCACCCCCATAGCCCCACCCCAACTCCACCTACCCCAACCCCCACCCCACCCCACCTCCACCCCTACTCCACCCCACCCTAAATAGAAATATTATCAATAATACTTTCTTTCCATGTTATAGATAAAGTATTTTTTTTCTTTCAACAAATGAGTATTTTCTTTTCGCGATATAAAAATGTTCTTTTTTCATTTTGATGTTTTAACTTCAATACCACACAAGGGGGGGGGTGGGTGGGTTTGTGTGGTATTCAATTTTCCGCTTAAACTGATTATGGAAGGACCTGGTTCTTCTAAGTGTTCCTTAACCTACTATCGCTGAAATAGTAAATGCAGAAAGTAAAGAACACAAGTATTTTTCGTGGAAAACCTGGTTCAGGAGGTTAAAAAACTACGGCCTACTTCTCAGTAGGATTTTTCCAAACTCTCCCCTAAATTACTGAGCCAAAAACTGCATTTACAAAATACTTTTGTAAACCTAGGATTAACTCTAATACCATTGTGGCAAACAGCCTCTAACTGTTGCGACAACTTCAAGTTAACTCTAACTTGAATACTCTGAGTACCTATTATAATTGCCTCTAGATAAAGCTGAAAAGTACAATATGAAAACACCTACTACAACTGAATTAGGACAAAAGACAGACACTCGGAACTGGTTCTTCTATCTGGTTCATGTAGGTTCAGGTTTGCACACTTGAATCACACATGAACTGCTTGCAAAATGCCTTGCTATTTTGCTCTCAATTCACGTTTAACTTCTGCTTTTGTGCATCCTGTAAAATGAGAACATCCTGCAATATATAGAGTTAGTAGATGAAGAAATAACTGAGTTCTAATTCTACTCTTCCTTGGTGGAAGAGTTCTAGTTGATCTCAACTTTAACTCCTCCCTTATCTTGGATAGTGTTCTCTTTGAGTAAGGAGTCCTTCTCCTTATCATTTATGCAACCTTTTCGATCAGGAGATATCAATTATACCAAGTTAAGCTTAACTCCTTCACGTGCATCCCACATGCTCGAATCTGCCCGTGTCTATGCACACAAGGGATGGACCTGGTTCATGCCTAAGCTTCATTTTCCCATCTTCAAAACAAACTTCACTTGGGCCAACAAATTCCTCTTTTTGATGAAGACAAAGTCTGTGCTTTTCATAAGCTTAGGCCCTGCTTCAACTTAGCTAAACATCAGCACAATGTTAGAAGCATTTTTCCTTTTTATCACTTATCATCAATGACCAGGTACATTAGGTTATAAACATCACTGTTCAAAGTGTAAAGCACAACCTTTTTCCCCCTTTTGGAATCATTGAAAAGTTGCATAAATATGTAAGATCATATGATTTTAAAACTTACTCATGGCCACTGGGGCTACTTGAAATGCAATCATGGATTAATCATCATAGATCAAGCTAAGAATTTTAACCATCAAAGAAATATAAACAAACAGTTAGAGCAAAAGTTAGTGAATTTCATTGATGATTGATAAGATCCTACCACAAAGCATAAGAAGAAATAAAAACACTAAAAACATTAGCAAAAACAAAAAAAATCCCGAACTGGGTCACTGGTGGATCTACACTAGGAGGCTTAAGGCTGGGAAGGAGTAGGTGCTTGGTTTTTGGCTTGGAGGAGTTTCAGCATATCCTAAAGAATGCCATCATTCTTCTCCTTTTCTCTTGCCAGCTCAGTTCTGAGAGCATCTCTCTCATTCTCCACCTCAGCCAACCTCTTCTTCAGCCTTTCAATCTCAGCATCTTTACCCCCACTTTCTTGCACCAAGGCTCGCACCTTGCTATTCACCGGTACCTTCTTGGATGAACCAAGTACTTTAGGAGTGGCATGGACTTCATAGTCACAAGCAAGCAGAGTATTTGCCCCAAAATGATCCTTGCTTGTACCAACCTCCCACTTCTTCATAGGTACCTTGAAATGTGCAAGCACAATCGTCAGAATAAAGCCACAGGGAATGGCATGAGTCTTGGTGACATTTATAACCCTATCAATAAGTTGGATAATAAATCCAGGCCAATTAATCTGCCTCCCACTATCCAAACACTCCATCAGGACCAAGTCCATGAAGTTTGCAATGTGCCTCCTTTCCTGCCTTGGCAAAATGCATTTGTCGACAAATTCGAACAACACCTTGTAGAGTGGCTTTATCTCACTCTTGTACACCGCGTTGGGCTCAATTTCCTCCTCACAGTCACTAAATTTTCTGGTAATGGCCAGGGCAGTAGGAAGATTTTCTAGGCTTGGCCACTTAAGCTTTGTATAGTCATTGTACCCCTCAGCAAATACACCCAGAATTTCTCCCAACTCCTTCACATCGAAAAAGACTTGCACTCCTTTCACCATACTTGTAACCCTTCCATTTTTAACCTCAGCATTTGCCATAAACTCAACAAATTCATTCATGGCCAACATGCCATCCATCTAAAGGACCATGTCCTTCCAGCCTTACAACTCCAACTTCTCCAATAGCAACACCATTCCTTGCTTCTCCAAGTCTCTAAGGAGTCTTCCTTTCAAAATAGTCCTCTTGCCAAACTTGGTCATCTTGTCTTTCTCAGCGTCAGAATCATCTTCTTGCTTTCCACTCCATTCTTCTTCCTAAACCACTATCACTTGTTTTGACTTCACAGTAGACATTGTTCTTTTTGCCAAGGTGGATGGTTCAGCAGACTTTGACTTTGAAACAGACTTCTTAGTGGAAGTCTTGGCTTTTTTGGGTTTGGGAGTCAGAACCTCCACTTCTTCAGTCTCATCTTCATCTCGAAGGACCAGGTCCATCTCATCAAGATCAACAGGCTCATCCATCTTCTTCTTTCCCTTAGCAATTGCTTTTCTTTTACTTTCTTCTAAGGCTTTCTGCAGTTCTGCCTCATTCTGCTTTAGCTGACTTCTTGTGTCTCTTCCTCTTGTGGGAGGAATTTCAACAGTAACAGAAGGGGCAGCCTTCCTTTTCTTGTTTTCCCTAGCAGTGCCAGGGGTTTTAACCTTTGAACTCCCTTTCTTCTTTGGATTATAACTTTCAGTCACATTTCTCAGTAGGTTTGTAAGGGTTTCCTGTTTAGATGGAACAGGTTCATCTACATTTTCCCAAGTTGAACCAACCCTTCAGCAGCTTCGCTGGACCCACTTCTCCCTGTTTTACTCACACTCTCCTCTGTTCCAGCAGATTCCTCTTTCCAAACAACCATTGCACCTATTTCTTTGGTTAGACTAACAGGAGTGGGTGAAGAATTAACCACTCTTTTACCCTTTCCCCTCATAGTACTCCGAGCATCCTTACTCTCTTTTTCTTTTCCTTTTTCATTTTTATGACCAACCCTTCCTGACTCTGTAGATTCATCACCTGCTATAGATCATACCAGTACAAACCTATTCTCCAAATTTCTAGAAACCTCTGAAATAGTTTCAGGAGTGACTTTAGGGCCAGATGATACCTGTTCAGTTTCAGAAGAAACGATTTCTTCCCCCTCAGTAGCAGATTTGAAAGATTCATCAGATTTCTGGTATTTTTTTTCCCTATTGGCTTTCAATTGTTTGTTCATTTTCTTGATCTGCTCTCCTCCAGTGACAATCTTACGAGCCATCATCTTTACTCTACTTTTCTAGAGAGTGGTGCGGTTGAAGGAGTGGTAGAAGGTGTGGAAGTGGTTTCATGCGGTGGTGATGAAGGGTTTTCAGGAGTGTTTGCCTTTTCTGTGCTTGGGTATGGAAGAGACGAGAATTAGATTGTGTTTGGGAGATGAAAAAGAATGAGAGTTTTTTGACGGCTTGAGAGAGATGAAGTAAGGAATACACTAAAGTTGACCAATTTAAAGAGGAGTAATTAATGGGGTAACGACAACTTTTCAGACCGTTAGAAGTCTAATCAAACTGAGATTCAGTTTTGAAGAGACGTTGGAGTGTATCCCTATAATCTAGGTACTTCAATTCGGTTGGGACTCTTTTGAACGGAACTGGTTTATATGTAACGGATAAGTCCAAAAGAAGTTTGGAATTAGGTAGGACTCTGCTCATGACCCAAATATTATTATTTCAAATTATGTAGAGTGTAGAAAACAAACCGAGTAATCTTGATGATGAACAAGGTTCTTCACTGAGAATTCTCTTGTGTAAGTCTAAATTTGCCAAAATAGAGAAAATATCATTAGAGATTAATGAGCCATTTTAGCACATGGCACAGGAGTATACTATTGAAAGTATGAGACTGAGCAAAATTTAATCTAATTATATACACAATTTACAGACTTTCTAACCAAATAATAATTTTTTTTTCTTTTAACTTTGAACTGGTCCTTTTTTTTAGGTGATCTTAATCATCCCTAATTCCAACCTGTTCCCCTTAAAGTGATCTCTACTTAAAGCTTTTGTGAAGATGTTAGCTATTTGCTTGTCAATAGCACAAAACCCCACAGTGATCAAACCCTTCTCATAGTTATCCCTTAAAAAATGGTGCCTAACATGTAACGACCCGACTTGTCGTTTTAGGAATTAACGCCCAGTTAATCGACATAAGGTCTTGAGCAGCTTCGTAATATGTATTATGACTCACGTGTGTAGTCGAGTTTAGTTTTCGGAAGATTCAGAATTTAATTTAAAGAAATATTCTCATTTTGAAGCTTAAATAGAAAGAGTTGACCGGAGAGTTGACTTTTGAGCATACGACCTCTGAATGGAGATTTGATGATTTCAATAGATTCGTATGGTGCTTTCGGACATAGGCGTATGTTCGGATTTGGAATTGGAAGTCCGTAGGATAATTCGACGCATTTTGGCGAAAGTTGGAAAATAGGAGATTTTGGCGAAAGATGGAAAATAGGAGATTTTGGAAAAATTCGACTGAAGGTTGAAATTTTGATGACGAGGTCGGATTTCAATTCCAGAAATTGGAACAGCTCCGTTACGTCATTTATGACTCGCCTGCAAAATTTGAAGTCATTCCGAATTGATTTTATATGTTTCGGCGCAAAATATAGAAGTTGGAAGATTAGAAAACTCAAAATTCGATTCATGGCGCGATTCGAAATTTTAGTGTTGTTTAGCGCGGTTTAAAGCTTCGACTAAGTTCGTATTGTATTTTGGAACATGTTGGTATATTTGGTTAAAGTCCCGAGGGCCTTGAGTCGATTTCGGAAGGTTAATGGAGCAATTCGGACTTGAAGAAAAGTTGCTGGAATTTCTGGGCAGCAGCTGATGCTTTCGCTTCTGCGAAAGTTTCATCGCGGAAGCGACCTCGCAGAAGCGAGGATTCCGTCGCAAAAGCGACCTGGGCAGAGCTGGAGGGAGGTCGCAGATGCGGGTAGTCTTGCGCACCTGCACAATCGCAGGTGCGATGTCTTGAAGACGCAGAAGCGGACTGAAGCATTAGATTTTCTAAATCAAGACTTGAATTCAAAGTACCTTGCTGATGCCATTAGAACTTTCAACATTTCGACCTCTCGTGATTATCTTGAAACTTGGAATGGTACACAGAAAGGGTTCGAGTGTTGAGGCATGGAAGTTGGATTTTTACGTGTAGATCAAGATTAAGAGATGAAAATTTGTGAAGCAAAGAGGAGAAACACTTGGAGCCTTCTGTTAAAGATATCGATCAAGATGACAAAAAATGTAGAAGCCATGCTGCTAAATACTCTGACCAAGGGCCTGCATCAGATCAATGTGTAAACATTAGTGACAATATCTCTAGAGGAAGCTGGGCATGATCCACGCAGAAGCGATCCTTTTGCCGCAGAAGCGACATCGCACATGCGAAATTGCTTCCACAGATGCGAGCTTCTACTGGGCAGTACACTGTGGGACTTCGCAGGAACGTGTTTTGGTTCGCAAAAGCGAGTCCAGGGATGCGACAAATTATTCCGCAGAAGCGGAACTGGGCAGAAACATTAAGGACCAAAGATGGTCATTTCGCCATTTTCGTTTTGGGATTTTTGGAGCTCGGTTCTTGGGCGATTTTGAGGTGTTCTTCACGATTTCGACTCAAGTAAGTCCTATACTTAAAAGTGTTTATATTTCATAAATCCATGGTTATTTTCATCGTTTAATACAGATTTAAATGGAAGAAATCAAGATTTTTGCAAAATCTTCCAAAAAACGAAAATTTAAGATTTGGAGGTCGAGTTGTTATCAGAATTTGATAAAATTGGTATGGTTGAACTCGTATCGGAATGGGTGTTCGGATCTCCTAAAAATTATGTCGGATTCCGAGATGCGGGTCCCGCATTGACTTTTGGTTGACTTTTTAGATTAAAATTTTAAGTCGACGTTATATAATCGGAAATTGTTTCCGATGAATTTTAATGGAGTTATACAGTTAATTGGATAGACTGGAGCTATCCGGAGGTCGATTCAAGCATGAAGGTGATTTTGGAATATCGACCTAACTTCAACAAGGTAAGTATCTTGCCTAACCTTGAGTGGGGGAATTACCCCTTAGGCATTGAGTCTTATGTGGAAATTGTGTGAATAAAAATCATGTACGCGAGGCGATGAGTACGTACTTGGTTTATATGTGCAAATTATATTGATTAAAATTCATAGATGCCCTTACGTATTAAAGTGAAATAAATTGTTGGAACTCAGTAAATCCTTGATTTGTCATGCCTCATTCCTTGGTTGTCGAGTTTGTATTTATATGATAATTTGGTGAAAATTTTCATTTGGATTTTATGTGAATTCCGTGTGTCTGTTGATTTGTTATTTCTTGGAAATAATTATATTTTGGATTTTCCATTCTACAAATAACTAATTAAGCAAGTTTAAATTGAGGTAGTAATATATTTATCGAAACTTTTGATTTAAGAAGGTGTCATCTTATGCTGAGTTAACTGTTCCATCTTTGTTGTTGTTATCGAGGTTTTATGTACATTGTGTGAAGCCTTGGGCTATTTGCTGTGAAATTAATTAATTTTGTTGTATCTTTGTAATTGGTTGTGACCTATGGGCAATTTATAAGATGAATTATTGTTTTGTGTTGTCGTGGTAATATCCGTATAAACTGTTGTGTGATTTGGATTACGGTTATGCGGCAGATAAGGGTGGCATTCCACTGTGGTTATGTGTTGGCATATTGTCTGGGCGGAGTAATAAGGGTGGCTATTAAACGGAGCAATAAGGGAGGCTAATATATGAGCGATAAAGGTGGCTATTATAGGAGTGATAAGGGTGGCTATAGGAGAGATAAGGGTGGCTATTGTCAGGGATGATATGTGGTGATGTGGGGATATTGTGTTGGTGATTTTTATGTGATGTTGTGACTTTCTGGTGATTTATTTTATATATTGTGCAATTCATTTTATAAATCCAGTAAATTTGAGAATAGTCAGATATATGTTTAAATTATGAGCCTGTAGATATTTGCTGGGCGGATTATGATATGGGCACGAGGTGCCGGGGATAAATGATGAATTTATTATTGGTATGTGTATTGTCCGTACAGTTATGATATGAAATATAGGCACGAGGTGCCGTGGTTATATAATAAAAATGATATTGGCACGTGAATTGTTCAAGCGGTCGTGATATGAAATGTGGGCTCTAGGTGCCGTGAGTAAATGATGACGATATTGGCACGTGAGTTGTCCGTGCGGTTGTGATAGAAATATTGGTACAAGGTGCCATGAAAATATGAAAATGGGCTGTGACCCGTATTTTTATGATTTTGAAATGAGGTGTCATAGGGTGACTTTTATTTGAAAGAATTATATTCGAAAAATATTATTTGAAAGAATTATATTCGGAAGATATTTGTTTGAAATAATCATTTTCGAAAGATATTTATTTGAAAGAACTATATTAGAAATGTATTTACTTGAAGGAATTGTATTCGAAGGAAGGTTATTTGAAAGAAATATATTTGAAAGATATTTATTTGAAGGAAGTATATTCAAAATATATTTATCGAAAGATATTATATCCTAAAGATTTCTATTGGGAAGATTTATAGGCTAGAGATTTATATTTGAAGGACTCGATTAATTGGCCGTACTTGTGTTCATTATTTGCTGAGCAATATTTATGGTGTCCTTGTTGCCTTGATGTTTATATCACTGGTCGATTTTTGTTTCCCTCATTGTTATTGTTTCCTATTATTTTTATATGCTATACTGCACAGGTTATTAGACTAGTGAGTGTCTTGACTGTACCTCGTCACTAATCCACCGAGGTTAGTCATGATACTTACTGGGTACCGCTGTGGTGTACTCATACTACACTTCTGTACATTTTTGTACAGAGCCAGGTATTGGAGACATCAGACTCGGACAAAGTTAGAGTGTGATCGCAAGGATTCAAGGTAGAGCTGCTTGGTCATCGCAGTCCCTTGGAGTCTTTCCCTTTTATCGTACTGTTAATTATTATTCGAGCAGTATTGTATATTTAATTTTCTTCGGATCATTTCATGTATTCATTTAGAGTTCATGACTCAGTACTACCAGTCTTGGGAGGTTGTATCTTTATTTTCGCTGTTGATTTCGATTATCTATTTTTAAAAAAAGGCTTGAATTGTTATTATGATCAGCTTACTTAGTCTTAGAGACTAAGTTTCATC